GAAGAGAGAAATATTCAAAGTATGTAGAGATTCTCCCCATAGTAATGGTTTTACATGCCCCTTTCTTTCCTAAGATTGTAGCTTGCCTTTAAGTCTGCTCGGATTCATGGTGACCTTCTGTGCAGCAGAGTAAAACACTATCCAGACCTGCACGGTCTTCGTGGTCCTTGCTGGGCCTGTGCCCACTGTTGCAGCCACTGCCTCAGCCTAGAGGGTTTCTTGAATTTTCACTGACCCTCCGCTTCACCAACCCTGATGTTTTGTTTTGTTTTAATAACCACGACTCTGCCTTCCTTGCACTTTCCCTTCTGGTATATGTTTCTTCTGAGTGAAAAAGAGAATCAAAACCCTTTAATTTAGACTGGCCTGCAATAATCCTTATTAGTGATTTTTTTTCAGGAAAGCTTAGGTTGCCATATTCTATGGACAGTGTCCTAAAACCTCCCTGGCCAAACTCCAAATCACTGCCTCAAAGTCGATTGTGAAACCAGGTGGCCCAGTGTGTTACAGCACTGAACCGAGCTCTTGAAGGTTTCTTAGTGGTACTCTCTGCAGAAGCATATCACTAGACCTGCCTCCCAGAGCACTGTTGGGGTAGTTTGAACCTCTGACCATTTTTAGTAGCCTAAAAAAAGCCATGTCTGTCACCCAGGGACCAACCCTTCTCCACAAAGGACCCCAAATCCATCTCATTCCTGCCTCAGGATGTAGGGGAAGATAGAAATGTTGAGTTTCAAAGATTAGGCTAGATTTAGTGCTGAAGGAAAACCTTATGAGAAACAGAACATCCACATTGCATGCTTGTGAGAACGTCTCTTGTGGAGGGCCAATTACTAAAGCCCCTTCTCAGGGGCCCATTGAGAGTTGTCAGGAGTTTGGAAGCATGAGGAAGGGCAGTTGCCGGGCCCATCCGAGTTGCTCCTCTGCAGGCTTACAGAGGCCATTGCTGTCTCTAAACCTCCCGGCTCATCCACGACAGAAATGAACATGCTGGGCAATGTTCTCACCGACAATGCTGACTTTGTTCCCTCACTGGTAGGTTCTGCCCAAGATAAGAACATGACTTCAGAAATTCGAGGTTTAGAATTGTTTCCTAAGGACACAGGGGCAGACATTTATTGCTCAATGTAAACTTCAGATAAATTCATGGGGAACAGATGTCCTGTGATGGGTAGTTGGGAGATATTCCAGCAAGTTGTCAGACGCAAAGGTAGAGTTGTTGTTGGGTGTAAGGCGGGTCACATTGCTGTATGTGTAGAACTGGTTGAAATGGTGGATGCCGGGGTACATTTTTACGCAGGCGAATTCTGAGGATACCTTGTCTAGTTAAATTGTTCTACCGCCAAGCTTTCCCTGCCTGCTACCTCCCCTGCCTGGCTTCATGGATGCATCACAATGGTTTGCTTTGTCTAACGGTACCTTTCCACAACCT